AGCAATCATTGTGCTAGTTTATTCTCTACATTATTATTTTCTTTCTCCTTTTTCTACTTCTTACTTTTCCTTCTACCGCGATTTAATTATGAAATATCACCCATTGAACAAGCATTCGAATTTAATCAACCACGTAGCAGCTAACTAGGTAGCTTCTTCTTCCTCGCGAAGAATCACTTGTGCGAAGTTCCTGACGAATAATTGTGCTAATTTATTCTATAATTGAAGTTGCACGATTATCTCTGTTTTTATTTTTCGTGTTTCCTCGTGTCTAATTATGAAATATTGCTCATTGAAGAGTATTTCCAGTTTGGTAATTCTCGATGTAAGTTCACAGAATTTGTCAGGCCAACTTCGCATAACGGTATTATAAAATTAAAAAGGGACGATGGTATTAGCATTACCATGTAAATTTTTATAACATAATCCGCTTTTTCTTACCTACAAACTTTAACACCCTTCATGAATATACATAAACACACGATAGTCATCTCACCCCCAAGTTTTCACGTAGTATCAAAGAAATTCTTTCACAGGGGTGCATATTTAACTCCCGTCCCCTAACACGTTAAACCAATTATTATCCTTAAACTCGATAATCGCCGATAATCCCACGTGAAAACAAAAGGCACGCATTCCTGGAAGAATTTCCTCCAGGAAACTCAGAACGGGACGATAGCCAAAGGATTGGATCCCTAGGGTGGTTTTTGTAGGAAGTTGTCGGAGAACCGGAATGAGAATACGAGGCAGAAGTTAGGCCATGAGAACGAGGTGATGGCGTTGGAGAGAAGGTGGCAGAGGTGGAGGTGGAGGAGAAGGAGGCAGAAAAGCTGGCGGTCAGATTGTGAGCAAGGGAGGAGGGTTGCAGCTGCTGTGACAGCTGCAGACTTCCCAATATTATTCGCCGGGCTGCTCCTATCCTCCGAATGGTCCCTCCGTCGCCTCTCCAGGTGCTGCTCGCATCGGCGCCTCGAAAAATCCTTCTTTGTTCCCTTCGAAGAGCATTGAACCACCGTGTGCGCGATCTGTCGCGTGGAGTATCGATCGACGCTGAATTTCATCGATTTCACCTCGTCCCGTGGCTTGGAGAAAATTTATTTCTATAGCGAGTCTCGTGGACTAACCCTAAACCTAACCTCTCCGGAGATGCCGATCTTTGTATCTCTATAAATATTTTTATTAATAATTTTCTTGGTACCAACTTCGTGAGGTAACTAGTACAATAGTAAAATTGGAGACTAAAGTTACCATATTAGTTACTATGTCCAGATATAGAACTAGAAGTCTAACACAGTACAAAAATCGAAGTATTTGACATAAACATTGACATATACATACAATTAGGATCTTTTATCACTTACAGTCTCCATGAAATATAAACTAATGTCACTGACTTAGAAAAATTGTCGGTACTTTCAGAAATACGTTGAATTACCTAGTCGCTGTCATGGAGAACCGTAATCGAGGGTGACTTATAGTAAACCAATCTCATAATCCACCACGGACTATTTACTTGAGAAACACGTTGCACGTGTAATTCGATCTGTGAATAGACATTCAACTCCATATCCTTCTGAATACATATTTCTACTCACAATTCGCTCGCTTCGGGCAAAGTAATCCGTATCCTAGTAATAGTTACATTCGTCGGGTATGCACAAGTCCAGCCTATTCTTGGTGCGAGCTGACCAGCCTTGCAGCGTAAAAAACACGCTGGTGCACCACGATTATTGCGTAACCATCAACTTATTCAGGTCGGTCGCTCGACCTTTCCCCAGTATCTACCTGTGCCGGATGCAAAACTGGACTAAACGCCGGGGGAACGCCAGCCTTACGTGTCTGCCACTGCACGAACGTAATCGCGATTTCCCTCGTGGTTGCAGGATGCTCGTGCACCAATGTAGACGGAAGTCCGTGGAGAAATCACGAGACTGTCAGTTTCAAACCTGTCGACGATAAGAAGGTGTATCGCGGCTTAAACGTTTGTGCATCGTGTTTGACAACTTTCTACTCTGCTCCTCTCTTCCAAAGGTGAACGATCGAATTCGTGTCCCAACGTTTATGTTCATTGACGTGCATCCGATAAAGTCGGCTGTCGTTGACACGGTCCCGCTCCACGGATAGTCGGGGATGCTGATGAGAGGGCGGCTTCCCGGGGTTCCGGTTCCATTAGGGTTCAACGCGCTGGCACATACAGTTCTGATAAGTCAGCATCTGGCGACTTGGCTGGAAATCGGAGAAACTGGTTATTAAGGATATCGGATCCCTTGACACGAGAAACGTTACGCACCAATTACATTAGTGCGCGATATTCTATCGCAAAAGTGGCCTGAATTGTGCTGCTGGAAAATGCAGCGGCGTGCGACCACGTCTTGCTTTTCGCGTTTCGAGACCCGAATGTTAACAGAGACGGTCGATTCTTTTAACTTCTAATGTGGTGAAATCTCCCTGACTTAGCATATCCTGTTTTTTTGCAATCTTCTTCATAACAAAATATCTAACATAGTTTCTACTCCCATTTGTGGCATTCCTTTCGAGTTACGTTCGTCTTCTGTTCAATTTCTCGTGGAGAGATGAGATGGATTTTTCCTTTCGACTCTCAGCAGTGTAAAGTCGAATCAGAACTATCGAGGTTCGCTAGGAACCCAGGCTGAAATCTGTGAAAAGGGATTTCGAGGGAGAGCCGACGAAACTCGTACAAGTTTGCCCTTAAGGAGGGAAGATTGTGATCTAGAGAGATAGAAAGGAGGGGAGAGACACCTGCTCGATGTATAAGAAGGGTCGAAAAGGTGCGTGATCGTGAATATCATGTCTGTGAAATTACAGCACGTCCTCGTGGAATTAATGTGACCTGGCAAGGCACACCTGTTGCAAACTTCGAATAAAGGAATTCCCAAATTCGTGAGCGAATTTCAAGCCAAACCTATTCTTCGCGTTCCTTCTCTTCCGTGAAAACAAAAACCTCAGGTAAAAATGAACGGTAAACGCGAGCATTTGTGTGTGTGTGTACAGTAAAACGGTGAATGAACGAAAGTACTCACGATAATGCGTCGTTATCCGTCCAAGGCGAACGATTTACGGGGTCGGCTAGTCGATGGTTTCTATAATAGAAATTATTCAGGTATGCCCGATATAATCCGTGGTAACATCGATCCTCCTGATCCGTTATGGTTTTACCAGATTTTATTGCCCTCGACACTGTGATTACATCGAGTTAGGGGTCTAGGAAAACGAAACTGAAATATATGCGAGAACATATGTCCAGCTAATTAGTGTTGACTGGTAGCTATTCATGCAGGACGTGCTTCGAATTCGTCATGAATCGCTCCCCTGAAGCGAAATTCAGAACGCACCCCGCAGAGAAGGGCGAAGATCCGTGCCTTATCTGATGGTTAACTGGAATTTCCATGGAAAAGAGGAACAGATGGTGCGAACCCCGAACTATGCGGGTTCGGTGAATTAAAAATTCAAATCGGTCGTTCCTTCATACTTCTGAATGCCCGTAACGGGTACAAAACGTAAAGGGTCAAGTCACTAGCCCAAATTCTGTCACTTAGACAAGACACGATGACGAGTGGCGGGGATGAGTAACGCTTTAGGAATTCGGAAGCGAATAGATACCGATCAGGGTATAGGTCAGAGGAATATTTTCATATGATTTATAAAAATCCTTCCTTGCGAAATTCGAAACAAGTCTGCTAACTGTATCCCTTTTGTAATTTTTTTTTGCAATTATTTTTTTCGCCTCAAATTTATTTTCACACACCCAAACTTTATTGTACGTGAGAAAATTAAGCCTTCCATTTTACTGTCATCATTATCCTGCAGACACAAAGGGAGGAGACATAAAGGTGCTCCGTTTTCGACTGTCCTGGCGAGATAGTGTCTCACGAAGATCGAAGGCGGAGTCTTCGCGGATGTTCCTTGTTAGAACGCTGGGGTACCGGTTCGTGTAGCTGGCCAGAAGGCTCGATTCCGGCCTGGTGGGGGGAAGGTCGAAGAAGGCCGCAGCTGGCTAGATCCTGTCCGCGTACATACAGCTGAACGCGGCTGAATGTAAGGAACATGCCTTGCCAGTCGGGCCTTACAATGTCGTTTTTCTCCCCACTACCGTGGCGGACCTGCAGTTGGCAACACGAGTGTCTTTACTGATCACGAGTCGCTATCGCGCGGACAAATTCTTTGTCTCGGAAAGGGTGCCAGTAAAAGTACCGCTTTGATAGCAACCGCCTCAACTACCTGCCTCTGATCAGTGCATCGATAGTCTCGATTAGTCGTTAGGTTGCACACTGATACGCGAAGGGAATGCAGGTAATTTTTCAATGAAGACACTTGCCAAAAGTTAACCTAGACTTTTGAGATATTTTGGTACGGAAAATCAGTCGATATTGCTATTTATGATGCTCATACACGTGTATGTTACAAACGTCTGTTTTGTATGATTTTTGATCGAATCTATATTCGACGAATTTTTCTTGAAATAGTAAATACATATTTGTATATAGATTTACAGGACATTGAATTTGATCATTGTCGCGATATCCTCATGTAAAAATGATTTTTATTACTCATTATATCGAACCGATGCGAACGTTCCAGGTAACCTTAAACGATTTCTAAACCGCGACCCATGAAGTCAGCGGCGACTGTACTTGTGCCACATATCCGATAATCTCTTTCACACGTTCCTTCATTCACCGTCTCTCCCTAGCTGCTGTCCTTGTCTCGCGAATGCCATTAGACTTCTCTCGTTCTTTTCCTTCCCTTCGTTCACTGGAACGAAGAAAGAGACAAGAAGGCAACGGACTCCCTCAACGGAGAGGAGTTTATATCTCTGAAAATTATATCGCGGTCGCAGTTCATCTCACGCGATTCCCGCTCATTCGGTCTCGTTTGCTCTCGTGGTATGAACCACCCCATTGGCCATTTTCCAGTGTACCTGTCCTTCTCTTGCGCGCGTCGCTTGTCGCTTTCTATCGGATCTACCAATCAGCGCGCTTGGTCCAGCGGGCATGACGCGACCGTTCCGCAGAGAGGATCGACCGACTGGACTGCGAACAGTCTGTCAGTAAACTTCGTGGCGTGCGTTGGCTGGCGCGCGTGCTAGCAGACCGTTTCCATGCGTGTCACGACACGGATACACGCCAGCCGATCTCTCGAAACGCTTATTAATATTTATAAGTGGTCGGTTAACGCTTCAAAGTGAATTCGAGGTTCGTAAAACGAGCAAAGATCAAGCTACTAAAGATTTGCACCGGCATCGGTACCCCGGGTCGTCTCCAGTGTTTTGTACGTTTTTTAAACAGCCGCGAGTGTCGGGACGCGCATTGAACTCACCGAGTTAGATATACACAGACGAATAGTAGTACTATTTTATATTTTATCCGTGAAATTTTCGACAAGAAGAAAAGATGGTGCGTGGTCTGTCGCAGTGGACGAAAACCTTGAGCTTCCCCGCGAGGGTGTCTCCCCAGAGGCCTGCCAAGGAGTCGAAGGGGTTTCATGTGAGCCCCAGTGCTAGCCCCACATCGCCACCCAGCCCGATCAACGACAACATGGACAAGGCGCCGATTATTACCGACGAGGTTAGACAATCTCACTTCTTTCTTTTTTTTCTAACATGCTTATCGCGGTTAGTGGTGCTTGAAAGCTTAACCTTTGTAATATTGGTTGACGAATTTCTAAGAGGGAAAAATAACGGGTGCATTGTGTAGTAACCTTCTGTATGTAAACATAATACGTACGAGACGTTTCAATTTCTGCAGGATGAATTGGCAAGATTTTTCGACGAAATATAGAATCTCATTTTCATATACTTATTTAATTTGCGCACGATTTGTTGGTATGCGGAGAACGTCCACGTAGGTCATTCCTCGAATATACTGGAGCAGAGTTTCAAGTTTATCGTCATACGTATTTCAGATAACGGTCTGTTGCTATACGCTTCGAGCAGCCACGGTTAATCGCCGGTTATGCGTTTCAGTTCTCCCTGCATTTATACTTGTACCAGTGGCCCGCGTTGTTTACTTTCACATTGTCTGCTTTATAGGCTCCTTGCAAAAAGTACTAGACCAACGTGGCATTAATTAATTCAAAGCATCCCAATTAAAGTTTATTTCTCCGGTCATATCCGTTCAAGGTCCACTGTCATAAAAGCCAGTCATATTTTCGGATTTTTAAAAGTAACTAGTTTTACTTCCGTTCGCCATTAGGTTCTTCGTTCGTTACATTCTTCGCAACCGTGTCGAGCAGGGACGTAACTTAATCTTCATGCGAATAAAAGGAAACCGCAGAATGGGGGAAATCTATTATTGAACAAAACGGAAACAGAGGGTTGCATTTCGATATCGTTTACAACAGCACCATTCATGATATCGTTGGCAACGTTGTTGGCACGGAGTCCGTTTTCTGCGTACGCGCCCCTGTTGAATACGTTGCATATTAGCTCTCTTATCGAAGTAAATACATGCATTCGTGGCCATCGAACCGTGAGCACTCTTACCTCTGCCAGAACAAAACACGGTATAAATCCTGACCGCTCAAAGGGGGTTCCGTATTCGTTCCCCGCGTGCTTTCATCCGTCTATCCTGAAACCAAACGTTGTTTTGTTACAATTTTAATAATATCACGCGTTTTTGGTCTAAAATATTTTTCCTACTGGTTGCCTGTAATTGGATTATTAACAAACTGCAAAAATTAAGTTAGGTTATGTAAGATCAACATTTCACGATGTGTGCGATGTTCTTTCGTTTTAAAACAGTCACGTGTCTATCCTAAAATCAAACATTGTTTTGTTACAATTTCAATAACATCACGTGTTTATAGTTTAAAATATTTTTCTTACCGGTTGTCCGTAATCGGATTATTAACAAACTGCAAAAGTTGGGTTAGGTTATGTAAGATCAACATTTCACGATATATACGATAGTCTTTCGTTTTAAAACAGTCACATAACAGAAAGGTTATGTTGCCATCAGTCGCGACAACCAGATGTTTCAACAAGACCGTGAACGAAACCACGCCGTTCCCTCGACTGCTTGCCGTGTATTTTCCAAAGAGTTTCTAATCATGCCGACAGAGCGGCTGATTTATGCCACGACAGCCAGTAACGCTTTCAAATTGTCCGCCTGCAGACCTTTACGTACCTGACTTCGTTCGTAAGGACCGTCGTCCCTTTATTATCGATTGCATACCGCACCGATTACCATCTGCGCTGTTGAATTATCAACCAAGAGTTCGATTTGATATACAGTTCCCTTCGTTATTATCGGCTGTTACGTTCCTTAAATTGTTCGACAAATCGTTTTAAAATTACTAGAAATTACCACGTGCCTGTATCTAGGATCACTTCTGTACAAATATTTGATCTGTTGCTCGTGCTTTTGACCCCCTATTCCTGTGTTTTTGTGTGACGAAATAAATGGAATTTATTCGTGAGTAAACAAGGGGTCGCTAGAAGTCACTCGACATTGTCACCCGCAGCTCCCCCTGCCATATCGACCGTGTATTTAAGGAATCGAGTTCATCTCTTTTTGCGGTCGGTTTAATCGTTCCAGCCCCCTCGACGACGCGTTGCCAACACACGTGCGCTGCATTTACGATTCCCTTTGTACGAACACATTTAAAAACGGCCTGTACACATTGGCTGGTGGTCGGGAGTGCCAACTTTCTGCAGGGTGCGATTGGGGGGGTTCGTTTGTGTAAACACAGCCTCTGGGAAGATGACAATGGCGCGACTGCAGACGCTTGACGGCACGTGCCCCACGTTCAAAGCGAATTCTTTTTTTTCGACAAGCCAATTCGCGCTACCGGCGTGCCTAATCGTATTCAACGACTATAGTAAGTTTCAAAACGATAATTAAAGGTTTTACCCGCAATTGTCAATACCGCGTTCGTCGTGGGAAGTTTGTCAACTGTCATGGCGGAATTAGATTAGAAAGGAGGATCGTATCTCAATATGGCTCTCTTCTACTAGAAAAACGACCCCTTTCTGGGTTTTACTAGGTAGGTACATATACACATGGACCAGTTTCAAGTATCGCGGACGGCTTGATGTACAAACTGGAGAAAGCGAAGCCGCCCAGCTGAATTTATCTAACTGCTCCCACGGAAACGTGCGCATTTAGAGAAATCTGAGATATATAAATACTTAATCTACTACAAAGGATTCGATTTATTCGAAACGAATGTAATGAAACGAGATTACGAGAAGCATCTCGAGACATTTGTTTTCGTTAAGACACGTACATAGTCGACCGAAAAAAATAAAGACTTTGGCCGGTCTGATTTGTATAAGACGTGTCGTATTATAACCTTTACTTAATTTCTCGAGACGAAGCTGAACGGAAATTACCGATGCGCAGAAATCCCGCGATAATGGACAAAAGTTTAGCCTCGTAACAGAAAACGTGGAGTCGCGGTTAAAGACGTGCAGGCGTTCTCCGGCTATATAAAATAAAGCGACGGCGAGAGCCGCCAGTGCCGGCGAAGGTGGGGGCAAGAAAAGGATCGATGAGGACTGGTCCAAAGGCGGGGAAAGGCGACGGCGGAAGCGTGGGAACCGAGCGTAACAGATGGCCTCGGCTGCTTCCGAACCCGCTCGGCCTCCTTCGTGCACCTCCGTGGCATCGGTTCTGCTTTCCGTTCTCGCGCGTTTCATACGTTCTATGTGTCGATGCAACTTGATTCTCGCAAAAAATCGATTTTAATCCTTTCGCGGACACTATCACTGTTCACTGTCTCCCGTAATTCTGGAATGAAATTGTAATATTGAAATATAATAATTATGAAATACAAATGCGATGAATTGACTACATTCTTGATTCGAATTTTGTAGGTTGGAAAAGAAATGAATCGAATCACAGCCTATAACACTCTTACTGTCACCGCAAGCGATAGAAGGTTAACTGACATCGGGAGAAATAAGGTTATGTAATTGACTTACGGAATATATACCGTTCGATTGGGAACGGAGAATAGGTTAAGAGGGTAACGATGCAAAACAAAAAGTGCAATAGAAGATATATGTGCTGTGATGCACACGTGCACTAGCTGGCAACCTTAGCACTTAACCCGATGCTGCGCACCGGTAAGGTCTCAGGAAACATTCAGACATGCTTTAACACGTTTCAAATGCACTCGTATAAACGTATTAGTAGTGAAGTCGAATTACATTCCGAGTATTAAAAATAAAACTGTACTTAAACGTAACGACTATTAGATGGTTTACTTGTTACATATTTGAAAGTTTTAATATTATGAATTTAGAACTTACTAAGTAAGATTAGTCGCAATTCAGACAGCAGGCTTGAATAGACTGCGATAATAGAACTACTTTCAGATAGCATACGTTCCAATGAACTTAATCATGCTGTCGCGAAATTCCTGGAATTAATAAATGATGACAATACAGGAAATTGTCGCAGGAAATGTCGCGAACGCGTAATCTTCAGGAAATAGCACATATATGTAGAGATCGTTGTATCACATTATTTCAGTTATCTTTCCTCGCAGTGGTTCTCTGACCCACGGATCATTGAAACAGATTAATGAAGCTCGACATCACCATGGTGGGCGACATAAACACGTTACAAGATTCTCTGTTGCTTGTATGTTCGCGTTCCAGCTAAGTGTTAGAGATAATTATGAGTTTATGTTTTAGAGTGTGAGAAAATTGTAAGGGGATGTATGCAAAAGAAAGGATAAACTGTAGTAGAAGCTATCATCACTCTGTATTAAGATAACACTCTAATTGTAAATATTATCTTTATTTTATCATTTTTGCAATAAATTACAGTAATTTAAAGCTTTTGCTTTTTTACTATACAAAATGAGCGTTATAAAAGTTTATGGAAAGTAATTTCAACACCGTTTTTGTTTTAGGAAAATACCAAAATAATGGCCAATGTACTTTTGAAGAATAAATTTCATTTAGACCTTCAACAAGAAATTTAGAAAATGTAACTTTATAATATTCAACAATTTTACAAAGAGTTACCGACCAGTGACATTGGCTGCTCTGTTACTTCGCTCGTCAAAGTAATTGACCTTGAGTAATTCCTTAAAATGTCACCAAATTAGCCGTCCGTGAGTTAAGGACCGACTCCAATAAGCTCTTATTAAGCTACGCGTGCAGAGCGACTCCTGACTCTTGTTCGGGAATGCGAGATAACGCAGATGCTTGCAAGTCGCTGTAATTACCGCGTGTTAATTTAAAAGTAGCCCGCCGCCCCCTTCCCATGGAGGCCACCGCCTTCATCGCGACCGGAAGTTGCCGCGGTGTTTGTTCCTTCGAGTATTGTTCCCTCCGTGCATTCCATTGTAATGAGCGTCCTTTTTCCCTCTCTTTCACTTTGGTTCTACGTTCCTTTAGAAAATAGGTGTACGAGACAGTCGGTGATCGCGATAGAAATTACGTTTAACAGGGCTCCTCGAGTGCGACCACGAGCTCTTTCCGGGTACTTTTGAAGCGGCTCTTTCGTATTGTTGTCAGAGTTCCGTAATGTTTTTATCTTTCTAATTGGGAAGAATGAATGCGCCTGTTTAAAATATAACGATGCGCTGGTTTTGCACCGTTATGGCGAAAAGAACTTGCGGAGTGGTCATTACGTACCCTTGAAGTGACTGCACATTTAATCAAAACTTAGGAGAAATTGGTGCAATCATTTGAATTGACGTAAGAGTTAAAAAATAGAATAGTTCACTGAAAATTCGAATTTTGTGGTACACAAAAGTATTGTAATTACCAACATGTGCGGTAGCTTAAAATATAGAAGTTTTCTAAGTATAAATCAAAGTAGTATACTATTAGAAACGTATGAATAATGTAGACGGTTGACTAGACTAACAGCGTATGTTCTGTTCAAGGATGTATAATTAACTCCACACGATGATAATGAGAAATCTATTTTAACGATTGTCAGTAGTCAGTATTAGTAGCGAATGTTATCTTATTTGCCTATTTACGTAACGATCGGAGCAGTCTTTTATATCTCGAACGTAGCTTCGTTAATGTAAAGAATACATATATTTGTTTTTGTGCCGAGATTACGCGGGAAGACACAGTAATCGTGGATACTCTGGGGTGGAATCACAAAGGACGAGCCGCGTAGCATTCGGCCGGAATTCAAAAGTTTGTAGATTTTCTATAGCTCGATAAGATACCAGGAAGACACGCTGGAGAGATAAAAGGCTATCGGTAGCGTTCTTACTCGGAAACCTATCTCTGGAGCTTTCTTAAACACGCTCAGGACTGATGTAACGAATGGAATTTGTACACAAAAGTATATCAAAAGCAACTGTTTATAAATTTTTCTTCTTGATCAAATAAGACATTAATTTTTCATCGAATTCCGGAAACGATCACAGAGTTTATCCGATTTTTTATGACAGTATTGTGTTCAAATGTTATTGTTCTCTGGAAGGAGTATTTCGATGGTATCGTTGAGAATTAATTTTTTTCTCTGGTTGAGAATTCTAAAAGAGGTGCAACTATCGGAACCGCTTCGCTTGAAATTAAAATGACCTCGTTGAAATTCCAGTTGCTTGTTCACGGGTCGTGAACCACTGGAACCCTTAAATTCTACGTTACAATTCCTCGGCGGTTCGTTCGTGGAAACAAAGAAATGGATGTCCTATTTTTCTAATGCCAAGAAAAGACTCTAGTAATGCAGGAGAAATGAAACTTTTCTCTTTCCATTGACTTTCCTCGCTTCAGTGCAGAAGCCAGTGAATCTGAACTTAATTGTAACAATCCATTGTGCGACTAATCTATGCAAAAATCACGTAAGAACAAATAAGAATTCACTTTTGTTCGAACCTCTCTATATTCAACCTGAATTATTACACTTTCTTTTATTTTTTTTAAGCAAACTTTTTATGCACTGGTGGTTTACATTAATGAAACAAAATATCTATTCACCATTCTCTCGCATAAAAAGGATAAGTTTTAAGAAACAGAGAACACATCGAGGTAATTAATTTTTGGTGCAAATTGTGCCCTCTTTATTCGTTAACTTAAATCTTAAAACATTCTTCGAGAAGGAAAGACAATATTTGTTCTTGAAATAACAAATGTTGTCTTATCTCGATAGCATCTTATTTCGTCTAATAATATCAGCTGATAATTTAACAAAAAATTCAACTACAATCTTGTAGGCTTGCACTGTGATTTATCAAGTATTATCGATTCGCCAAGATGACATCTGGAACGAAGGACATCCACGAGAAACAGGGCACGATTTCGTGTGAAATCCATGGGTCACGGGAATCGTCGAATGCCATCCCACGACCACTAATTTATGGGATTCAAAGTGTTCCCGCTGTACGAGCGAGCCCAGACCACGGGGCCGTGTGCCTCTGTAACCGACAGGAAGTTTTCCTTTCGCACGCGATCACCCTGTCTTCCACGGCGTGATCGATCCGTAAATAACATTACCGCGACGGGAAATTCGAAATCAACCGAACGACCTGTAATTGTTGAACTTATGTACGCCTCAATCACGTAAAATGGATATTTAGAAAAGGATTTAAACTGGTTGCAGGCTGTTAAAGAATCGATTTACAGTCTATAGGCCTGTAATTTAGTTCATAGTGTGCAATATTGTAGGGAACTTCTTCACATTTGACTCTTTGGTTCACACGTTCTTTTACATGTTCTTTGTACTGGAACTTTTACTTAAAAAAATGAAATTTATTCTTCCTCGAAATCTTCAACCTTTGAACACGTTTTCTTTGAATGAAAAGTTCGACTGGAAACTTTTCTATTGAAATTAGTTTGATACTAATGGGTTAACTGTGAAGAAAGAATGGTCGAAAATCGAGAATTCTGTAGACGAAACAGATTAACGAGCGCAGCAATTCGAAAGATACAATATGTTAATCCTCGGTCATCGAGTTGTCAAGGTCACGCAGTTTCGAGCCGACGAAAAAAATGAGATTCGCCCGTTGGATTCGAATGCGTAACCGTCACGTTCGTGCATCGCTAATATCGGCGGAGGATTTTTCGAATACCGGACACTCTCGTCAAACTGCTTTCCGTTTCATTAAAATACTGTGGGTTCCTCCCCGATGTGTCGGTTCTTCCATATTTTCTCCGAAGAACCGAGACATTTTCGCGAACTTTTTAAATCATTTCACGTTCCAAAGAATATCTAACAACCATATAACGTTCCTTACTAATCTTTTTCCAGAATCTTCTTATTACTTCCTGAATTATATTCCAAAAGTTCGTTTCAAAATGAAAATATCACTAAGGATGGGAGATTCTAAACATCAAGAGTACGAAAAGTGTAAAAAAGCACTGAAAAGTTGAAGGTATCGAGGTATACGAGTTCAAACGAATTATTGTCTTTGTCTTTCCACATCAGACCAGATTATTCATCGATTCTCCTCGTTCCTAGGGATTTTTCACATGGCAATCCGGGTTAGAAAATTCCTGCGGGGCCGTATAACGCGGAGATGATCGCCGTCCTCAAGAATAAGTGGAACGTACCCGAAGATCGTGTCCGTTATTTCGCCATGACGTCACGACGGCTTGTAACCGCTGTAACAGCGCCATGGTGAGAGACTACCCGTGATGTCAGCCTCGCGATGCTCCATGTTGGTATTCTAATTCGCTAGTGCGAGCGTTATGGTGTTTCCTGGAATAAGGGACATCAGCCAGACGTTCGAATCCATTTGCATTCGCCTGTGCAACGGCACTTATGCAGCCAGGGGATCTTGGTTTATCGTTCGTGAAAGAGAATGTAATTGTTCGATTTACGAATAACTGTCGATGAAATGATAGAATTATCGGATACGTTATTTTATGAGAATTAAAACGATCGAGGAAGTGATCTGGTCTGCGACCGATATTTTAGGAAATGGTTCTGTCGTGCGAACCGAGAATTTTGTACCCCATGTTTGTTTTACTTACTAATTTATGTTGTTTAGAGTAGGCAGATTTCTTGGATATGTCTGTTAACCGTTTCGAGATAGTATAAACTAATAAATTTTTATAGTCGTTTATAGAGATTTGTATTTAGAGGGCTGGCGGTTTAATATAGTCTGTATATTCAAAAAAGCAGAGTGGCAATGCAAATTGTTTCGAATTAGTAGAGGAACAAGTATTGTTATATATTGTTATTGCTTTAAAACGCGAAATTTATCATTGCATCGATCTTTGATATTTCAAGATGCATCGTCGTTTTATCGAACTTTCGAACTTATGTAATCGATGCTTTCGGTAATATCATTTTCTGTTACCGTTGCGCCGCTTAGTTTCTCGGGAGAAAGCACCGTCTCATTTTGATGATATTACAGAACTTGTGCAACGCGAGATCGTTGCCCGCCGTGGCTTAATTGGCCGTTCTTTGTTTTAATTAATTCATTGCTCGTCTTCCTTTCGATTGTTTCAAGCTCTCCCTAATGGCACACGCTTCACCTCCTCATAAAGACGTGTCATGGAATTATTATCAAGTTAATTAGACGTAATCCACCAAGTTCACTGCCAGAACAGGCAATTTATCAGCCATCATTTAGATCCATCACAGGAAGTGATCTTCGTGCTTTACGATATTAATTTTAAGCAGCAGTGGAACAGTAAAAGCTGTGTTTTAAATATTTATCTCATTTCTACATTATTCCTTTTCCATTCAGTGGAAAGAATTGCAGATACAACTTAATAATCTCATTTCAATATGATCAGTTCCAATCAACTTTCGGCTCACAAATTTTTCCATTTTCAGATAGAAAGTCATCGACAATGTACAAAAGCTCATAACGGATAAGACTGGAGCGAAATGAACCGTCGATCGCGACCAGTGCAAGTGTATTTTTATTCCTGGTATCACGATGCGGTCGGTGTTCTTATTTCTTCCTGCTCGTCCTTTTTTTTTCGCAATCTCGAAACTGAAGAGGTAGGTCTGTCTCTTCCATTCCCGGCGGTGTTTATATCTCGCCGGCAGTGGCTGGTTGCGTTAGGTTCCTCGACCTTGCCGGTCGTGCAGGTTTCAACTCGCAGGCACCTACAGACGTCCCCGTCTATACCGGGTGTATCTGCGTGGATACGCCTGATTCGATGCTGACTGAATAGTTGTTTTGGAGGAAATTACGTCTGCTGGCATTCTAGTACCGTGGGAATGATATTTTTCGTGGATTATTTGGTCTTCGAGGATTAGTCGTTAGCTTTAACCACAGGGTTCCTTTTCATCCTTTAGAAAAAGACTTTTTTATTTATATTAGCAATGAAGATTTTATTTTTTATTGTTGATTCATTACTTTTTTCGCGTAATTTGAGATATCAGCGAAGAAAGTTAGAATTGATTCTATTTGCGTGGTAGAAATTTAATAAGTTACCGAAACTAAGATGGAAAGTCGAAGTTTTAGATGGATGATGAGTAGGATAGGACATAACTTCGACCACGCCTCTACCATTTAAGAGTTAATAGAACTGTTTCAATGGATTCTGAGTGTTTAGCTTGTACACGCTGGTTGAAATAATTGGAGGATCGTTCACCGAAATGACTTTGTTCGTGCGGTATCCTATCATTTAAAAGCTTCCATTCGCTGTATAATCAAACACTCGGTCACACTACTGCTATATCAAATACACAATCTTCTGAAGTCATTTAAATAGACATTGCTACTAGCTATTGAAACAAGAAATTTCAAAACGAGTCACAGACATTTTTCATTTAAAGCATTAAACATCTCATTGATCAGTAAAATCGCTTAATTAATTACGCGATTAAAATATGAAGTATTTTTCAGAGATATACGAGGATTCGAGTTTTAGTGATTACTCAATTACATATTCTGCTATATATTTTTCCATAACTAATCGATGCCTAACTAACGACAGATCAAATGGTGTATTAATAGAGGCAGTAATTATTTCCACGCACGACGTAACGCGTTAAATTTATTCTGGTTTCCTTGCCTCCCGCATGGTTCTCGGTACGGGTTCACCTCCTGCATCAGGGTTATTATTGAACCTCGCTATTTCCGAAAACCGTCACGACTCCTTCGTCGGCTGCCATGGTCGACGTTCTTCCTGGAAGCAGTAACGTGGCATGAAAATTCTAAAAGGATCGGAATGCCGTTTCTCATGTGTTGCACCCATGCCTCCTTTGCACGGGGAAAGTCTTCCACAGACGGATTTAGATTTATTAGACGTTGTTACACACCGTTGGTCGTTTGTTTTCCCGCGTATTTCCACGCGTTTTATCGCCCGTCCACTTTGAACGCGTGCTGCACGAGCTAAGTGTCCGCAGGTTTTACTGGTTTAACCCAGTTCCGGTTACGATTTAGTCGGAATCCATTTGGGTCTTTGATCAAGTGTGAAGTTGAAGCAGAAACAAGGTAGCCTCGATCTAGGGAAAATTAAAATGGTAATCTTGGTACAGAAAATTCCATTTGCCATCGTGAATATGTAGCCGCCTTACACGTTTACGTACATTGTCATATTAAATTAGAGCTGATGGAATCTAAATCTACGGAAACGAAGTTGGCAGAAGCTCTTAGCAATAGCTCACGAAACTTAGCGATATTATAGCGTTGATTCCTGACATGGAAAACAAATGGTAATCTTGACACAGAAGATTACACTCGTCGTTACGAAGAGAATAGCATCAATTATCACGCAGACTGTAGCAGATTCGAATTAGACTCGCAAGAGACTAAATTTCAGAGCAGAAACTCGACAGTAGTCACTTTAACCATCGGGTGCCATTGATGGGACCGTGCGGACACTAATGGGGTCCCCGTTTAGCATACAAACAATGGAAGCGTGTATTTATCGATAGAGTCTATCATTTAAGCGGCACTGTAAGAATTACCGACGAGAAATTACCAGCAGCAGCTTGATAATGAAGGATTAGGTAATCGATTACATTGTTCCATAGTCATTCTGAATTCCCGATGCGTTTCCATACACGTGCTGCACATTTCCGGAGAAAGTTTGGTCTATGTGAACTAGACCTAGTGAGCTTTATCAATCAATAACTGGATTATCTGCTTTACGATAATCCTTTCACTGCCAACTAATCGATATGTCAGTCTTTGATACCTACTAGTAATTAGTTATTTTTTTACGCATAAATACAGCGATAGAGCAATCGTACGTCGTTTCAATTTAAGGAGAATGTGTAATAAAATATTGTAAAATTTATTTACGAGAAACACGTGTAATTGTGATTACGATAAAGCTGTAGTTTAATATGCTCGATATCGCTATTTTATTCCATCACGTTCAAAAGAACGATTTTCTTGTAGTTTCAAGATCTCATGACTTTGTAATTTCAACTAGCGTTATCAAGAGCAAACAGCTTTCCGTAAATACGTGGAGTTTGTAGTGCTAATTCATTGTTTGAAATGAGTTACGTATTTCGCAGACTTCGAGCTATGGTGAAATACGTCTGGAGTCTTGTTCTTCGCAGAATAGAATAGAGAACAGTAAGAAAGACAAGAAATTATTTACTATCGCGTTTCGTTAGAGCAAATTATTAAAAATTATTGCGGTACTGATTGAATATCTCTGTTCTAAAATTACACGTAGTATTGAAGTTCAGTCAATGACTCAGTCTGATAATAAACTGACATTGTCTCCTCGTTAAGCATTTATAAATATCAGAATCCGAAGCAAATTCTTATCGAAGAATAGAACGATGATCCAAACGGAAGATCCATTATCTCGACCTTCGTCTATGTTTATAATTATCTGCTGATTGTAAAACGAAGTCCAAGGAAAGAATGCACTGTAATCGGGTCGTACATCTGAAAAATTCCCACCCAGGTGAAATGTAGGTCCAGAACCCGCCGGTGTAGAGTCGCGTCGCTGAAAATTGATTACCATATTTCACCTGGCGATGGCTGGAATGCCAAACGGCTTGTTTATTGGGCATGAGACCCGGTGCACACTCGCGTCCCGTAGACAAGACTGCCTGGTAACGACTACCTGTTACCCAATTAATCGCTACCCACGTTCTAGGAGGTCCAGTTCCACTCGATGGCTCGGATGAAAGCTAAACAGTTTGGGAATCTATTCGTTCGGTTTCCAAAAGATCGGAGACAATTATTTCAGGACCCACCGTTGGTTGTATTCAGTTGGACAGGGAATTTCCGTAGCTTTGTAATGTCTTGTTGATCGTTCTGGTCTCCTTTGTTACGCTGAAGTAATTCGCTGATAGGTGTGCTTCCCCGAATGGAACGGTGGATGTTTGCGTTAGAGACTGGAAGGAACAGTAGATAAGATCTTTCTCCTTTTGCGTGTTGCAGAATTTCCAGGATCTGGAGGCAGAAAAGGCAATAATGGGCTCCATTGTGTATTGCATACATCATAAGGATGGCTGCAAGTGGTCCGACGAACTTAGGAAGTTGAAGGTAACGTTACACTTTTCTTTTTCCTTTGTCTAATTTAGCTTTGTTCCGTTTTAGATAGCGAAAGAGGGACAGACAGATTTTAGAAACTGTTAAAGTAATCGGATATGTGGAAGCATGGAGAGTATTTCAAGGTCATCCCCATTGTTCCCCGTGAAAGTTATTTGAAGTGATTTGACTGTGAAAGGACACACCTGGGATCGTTTCATTATGCATTTCTGATCTTGAGCGACCTTGTGTTGATAGGTCATTGAACTTAAGCCGGCACGGTTAACTCCCACACGGCTTACGGATAACTTGTGCCGACCTTCTGGTCAATTATAAGAACAATTATCGACTCTTCTTACCGTCATTAACATATCAAGTCCTACGTGACCTCTGGATGATTTACGAGTTAAAAATAGTGCTCGCTATAAACGGCTCCATAATTCTCCCTGAGCAATAATTAGAAAATCTCAGGGGAATGCTGTAAGGAACTGTAAAAAGTAAAGTTCCGACTGAATCAATGTTTAACCTTGAAATAACTTCAGCACAATTTTTATTGTCTTTATAAATATACAATGGCGTATAAAAATATTGGGTCACAGTAATGGTAAATTCTTTATTCTTTAGAAATATAAACCCAATATTTCTGTACGTCATCGCGAACATTATTATCATTCCTTTAATCTCTGGTATGCGGTTCGTTCACCCGAGTTTCCCCGATTGTCGCAACATGATCATAGATCTAAAGGAAACGATCCGATCGGAGTAGAAGGAATGCACCGTTGAGGTTGCACCGATGTAAAAATCGCATTATATCCTGTTTAGGCTCACCTGAATACCTGCAAGCACGACGCGGCCCCCTGCAGCAATAAGTGCGGCGCGATGATCCCGCGTGTGCTGATGGAGGACCATTTGAAGTACACTTGCGCCCAGCGGCGAGCACGCTGCGACTTCTGTGCCAAAGAATTCACCGGTCACACGCTCGAGGTAACCGACGCTGCATTAATTAGAAGAATCGCGATCGAGTGCCAGCCGTTAACTGTACTATAGTGGGAACGGATGGAAGCGAAAGCACACGAGTTCAAGCGAAATTTTTCGAATTCTTTTCCCTTATTCTGCACATTCGCATTTCTTATGGAAAAATGCTTTCTACCGTATATTTTTATGCATTTTTTCACCTCTCTTTAAATTCTTGTAACTTTCATTGAAAACGAAAGATAGTTTTGAAATCGATTACTTTTGTATATCTGTTACATTATTGTCAAAATTGTAAATATATTTCTTTGAAGAAATTTCACATTTTGTAAATTGAGAATAAGATTTTTATAAATTTCTCGCAATTAACGATAATGCTAATGTTCTTTTTGTGTTTTTGTAGAAGCACACAGGGACGTGTGGCTACGAACCGCTC